CAAATAACATCAGTGAGAGGGAGGCAGGACCCCAAAAGACACCAGAGCAGCCCAAGCACTCAGCCTTGTGAGGGTTCTCATGGACGTTGCCAAAGGAGAGGAAGGAAAATACCTGTGAAGAGCTGAGGGACAGCCAATGGCTCGTATTGGGAACAGAGAAGGGCTCGAGTATGACCCACAGGGAGAGCCATGAGGGTGACAAGGTGCTGAGGTTGAGGGTCAGGGTGACCTCTCCTTGGTGACAGGAAATAGGCTAAGTACCTCCAGAGATGGCTTCTCCTTGGGATCCAGCTGGGGAGCCCAGGGTGGCTCAGGCCAGTGCTGCCTGTGGCACAAGGGCTTCTGGAAGTTTGGCTTCAGGAACACAGTGCACTTGGCAAATTCAGGGACTCCTCAGGGACAGAGGGCATCTGTGCCATTGTCCCCTCTGCCCTGCGAATTGACCTGTACAAGGAGATTTGCCTTCCTGGCGGGACTGAGCTTGCTCTCCAGTGGGCTGTGGAGGCTGCCGCTGGGATTCAGCCCGTGAGAGCACTGGGCTCTAGAAAGCAGCTGTACAGTGCAATGGCATTCACTCGTGCTCTGCCACTGACACCTCTCTGCTGCTCTGCTCACGGGCTGAGGAGACCCAGGCCAGTGCAGCCTCTCCACTGCAGCCTCAGGTGTTTCTGCTCTCAAGAACATCCCCGTGTGCTCTCCTGCATGGCACAAAATCTGCTCGGCATAGCTGGGGAACCCGATGAGCACGGGGATAACACCTGGGCCAGAGGCAAAGGTGAAAGGAACACAGGGAAGGAGTGACAGGCCGTTCTACCGAGGACTGCTGGCAGCACATTTCCCTCTTCCTTCTCCTTGCTGTGCCTAGAGAGCTCATCATGACAATAGGGAAGGAGAAACAAGTGGAAATGGGCTAGGATCTCTGGTGGAACTTCTGCCTCATAACACTGGGGAGGAGAAGGCTTATGGGGTTTGAGTCCACTCAGTCTTTCTCTGAAGGAGAAATTGTGTGGGAGTCTTGAGGAAAACTGCATGCAGGTGCTAAGCAGGAGGCAGGATTAAGAGGTGGACACTGTGGCACAGTGCTGTGCTCTGAATTCACTATGAGAATAATGTTGATAACAGAGTTTTAGTTGTAGTTAAGTAGTGCTTACCTCAAATCCAGGACTATACAGTGCCTCATGCTGTGCCAGAGAGCAGGTGCAAAGGCAGCTGGAAGGGAGCATTTCCAGGACAGCTGACCTAAACTCACTAAGAGTATATTTCCTAATATTTAACCTCATGGTCAGTTTGGAAGCTGAGGGGAGCTGGCCAGGCTCTGCCTCTCACTGCTCAGGGACTGGCTGGACACTATGTCAGTGAGTGGTCAGTGACAGGATTGTGCATTACCTGCATTTACTTGGGCTGTATTTCTCTCTCTTCTCCTTTTTATTTACTCCTGGTATGGCTCTGTTTGTATCTCAACCTGTAGTTTTCTCCTTTTTCCCATCCCAGCAGTGGAAGGGGGTCGTGAGTGAGTGGCTGTAACATCGAGTGGCTGACTGGGCTTAAACCACAACAACCTGAGCACCAGACAGCATCTCCATGTCCCCACAGCTGAGGCATGAGCTGCAGCGCTCCTGGCCAGGCCTGCGTTTCACATTCCAGTAAGGAATTTCCAGCTTCTCTTCTTGTTTTATGAAAATTTATGTGAGCCTTGGATTCCCATGGGCACTTGCACTGTCATTTCCACTGAGGATAATGAAGAATATGTGAGTTAGGGCAGCCCTTTTGTCTTACATCAAGCGCTATCTTCCGTAGTGAGGGGACTGGAGAGCTACACAAGGAGGAGGCATAATCCTGAACTGGCCTTTTCAAAGTGAGAAATGTGGGGGAACTGACATAAATGAAAATATTCAGAAACAACTGAAAATAACCGAATGAAAGACTGCTAAAACTGAGTGTGCAAGGTGTTCCCAGACCCTGTCACTGAGAGGCACTGAAAGTAATAAATATTTTCTCTTGACCGATGTTCCCTGCTGTTGTGCTCCATATCACAGCCTATGGAACTTCCCAGAGAAACAGTGCACAAAGTAGGGGTGCCTGAAAGTCTTTATTAATTTTTCATAATTTTTGCCTTTCCAGATCCAAAAGAATAGAAATGATGATGAGAAAATACAAGCCACACCAAAGGAGCGTCTCAGTTGGCGGCAATGGTGGACTGGATCCAGGAGACGTAGTTGCAAACCTTGGTGTAAACTCCGGGATAGCCTTTCTTGGCACATCCAATACCCCAGGAAACAATGCCCTGGAGCTGTCCATTGCAGACCACGGGACCGCCGGAATCTCCCTGTGCACACAAAGGATATGGACATTCAGGAAATGGTATCAGCCTAAGCAATGAGCCAGAGATCCCGGAGATCGCTGACTTTGGAGGAAGCCCTGTCAGGTGTACAGTGCACAAAAGTTCTACCTAGGCTGTTTCTGACTCACCCTCTCCACCTGATGCTACCAGGCCTGACTTGAGGGCACCACAGCAAAAACAGCTGCCTGTTTTTGCCAGATACGGAACTTGGCAAACATTCAGGATATGTGTGCCTGAAGCCTCTGCTGTCATTCAAAAACTCAGATTTACCAGTGCAGTGAGTGTAGCTGACTCTGTAATGCAAAGGCCCCTTCAGCTGGGAAAAGGCAGGAGAGAAATGACCGGGAAAGGAGGGGCAGATGATTTACCTGGCAGGAGTCTTTTCCTCCCTCCAGGAATCCTACACATATCATGTTCTTGGTAATTTGCCCAGGGTAGGCAGAAGAGCAGTCGGCATCGGAGAGGATTGGAGCCTTCAGGCACTGCAATTGGTCTGGGTAGTTAGCTACAAGGAAATAGGGAGAGATGGTTGATGGCATTGCTGAGGTCTTTTCAGAGCTTGCAGAAGATCTTGGCAGAAAAGCAAATGCCAGACACCCTGTTCCAGCAGCCATCCTGCTTCCTCTCAACAGTAAGCACGGCATGGGTTCCTTCTGTAGAGACAGAACAAATTCTACCCATGGGCCCACCCACCATTCTATGCTGCAGCCACCTTAACTTTTCTGGCACCTGGAAGTTCATCAATTGGCAAGAGTGGGGCCACTCTTGTCATACATACACTGGAAGAAACCTGAGCCTCAGGAAAACCATCCTCTCCTCTTGTCCAGGTTTAGATGTCATCAGTGGAATAGACACCACTCACCCTGCACATCTCTGACCTTTGGTGTGAGAGAATGGAGGTCTCTAGTAGGAATTGTAGATCCACAGTCTTGGACTTCACCCTTATTCTCAGAGAACTGAGAACTCTCTTGACATTAGCTGAAGCCACTGTGCAGTCCCTACACTGACCCATCTCTCATAAACCTGTCCCACAGCACTTCCCTATGTTTTTTCCTGTCGTGTTGGGGGTTAATGGCAAGGACTTAGAGACTGTCCTGGTCCCCCAGGGGTCTGCACATTCCCCCAGAGTACTCACAGCCACTGCTGAGAGTGTTGCCCCAGCCGGAGATCAGGCAGGTGGTGCCGGTGGCCGCGCAGCTGGTAGGCAGAGGAATGGTTTGGACAGCATTGTTGAGCTGGGCTGGGGTGGCCAGCTTGATGAGCATGATGTCATTGTCCAGGGTGTAGGCGCTGTAGCCAGAGTGGCGGATGACTTTAGCAGAGTTGATGAACTGCTGGGTGGATTCGGTGAGCTCCAGGTTGTGTTTCCCGAGCTGCACTTGGATGCGACTGGAAAAGAGAAGGCACAGCGTGGACTTTACTGCTACTGGCAGGTTGAGAGAAAGCTCCCTGTCGCAGAGTGCACTCGCTCCAACATCACTGCCACGGAAGCCTTCTGGGGCAGGGGATTTTTCTTGTCCTGCAGGGAGCCCTGGGGATCCACACCGAGATCTTAACCCACTCCCAGTATGGGTGGTGAATTTCTGCAGGTTTGTAAATAGATGACGGCAGTTGAATACAGAGCAGCACTTTATTCAGATGTTCTGGGACAAGGCAAACTGCTCTAGCCTGACCTCGTTCCTCTTCCTGTTCTCCAGGGACAATGCTTTTGCAAGATTCATGCAATTGATAAGAAATCACAGCCCAGAACTCGCTGCTTGATGATCCCATTGTTATTTCAGAGGTGTTCTGCTTTCACAGAAACATTTTCAGAAGTGGCAAACCCCTCAGGATGCCTTGGCTCAGCATCCTGAGTGATCCACCCATCCCTTGTCTGTCTCTGGTCAGAATGGAGGCACTTAGATATTTCTATCTCACGGCTCAGAATTTCTGCTAGAAGTGAACTGGAGGACAGAAGTAGGGTAGAGAGGAAAGTAATTTTTCCACTCACGATTTGTAGCAGTGAGCAGCTGACACGACCCACTGGTTGCTGATGAGGGAACCTCCACAGAAGTGATATCCAGAATTCAGGGACACCTGATAGGGCACAGCGTTCTTTGCACAGGTGTAGCCTCCCACAATTTTGTCATCATCATCTTCAGCAAAGGTGGGGAAGGCAACTAGGAGACAAGAAGTGCCATGTGTCAACAGCTGGCCTAAGGTAACGTGGCCTGTCATCTGCCCTGTGACTGCCTGTCTGAAGCCCCTCACTTGTAGGCTCCCCTGCTATGGACGCTCAGGCTAGGCAGGACTAAGGCACGTGCATTTGGTGCACCCTTAACAAAGGGGATCAGACTTACACTGGTGCCTCACATATCTGCAACTAAAGCCCTGCTGGCCATTCCCTGAGGGAATATAAAGGCATAGAAATGGCCTTGTTGGATCACATCACAGGTATGTCTTTCCCAGGATCCTGTCTACTGAAACAATGAAGAGTGGACTGAGGGAAAAAGTAAAAACAAGTATGCAGTGGGATTTTCTTGGAGCACCTAGCCAGGGTCCAAAATGTTTCAGTTGCTTTAGGACTTCCTGGGCCAGAACTATTCCTTAGTCCTGAAGAAGGAGGCAGCCTTTTTCTGAAGCTATGGCCACATCTCTACAGCTGGGTCAGGAACCCCTATGAAAGCATTCATTTCCCAGCTTGTGGCACAAGGCATTATGAACAGACAGAAGATGGAAGTTGCAGGGCTCTGCCTTCAAACTTCTGCTAGTTGAAACTGGACTTGGCTTTCCCACAATAGGCTACCTTGCAGTTTTGCTCAGAAAATCAGCTTCCTATTAAATGATAGAAATAGAAATAAAAAGTATACTCACCAGCCACCCCAATGAAGGCGAGAAGCAGCAGACACTTCATGGTCTTGATTCAACCTCAAGCCCAGAGTGGATGACTGGATGTGGGAGCTGCTAGAAATAGGGTTTTGGTAGTGGCCTTATCTCTAGTCCAAGGTTTTCTCCAGACAAAAAGTACACAGTGGAAAATTTGAAGATCCAAATGTGGCCATTAACAGGCATTGGTAGAATGTACAAAAAACATACTTGTTAATCATAAACTTCTGCTAAGATAGAGAGCTATTTTAATTATTCCATCAGGTAGCCTTCAATCTAAAAATACATTTTGGCTTTGAACGATGTGTAGTTGTTTGTCTGTCTCATTCTTATACCCAGCACCTGTTGAGAACAACTCTCAAACCTCTTTCATACACCTCTGTGCTGGCAGTATCTTTCTTAAAAATCCATATTTTTACCCAAAGTTGCATATTGTAGGTAGTGGATGGAAAGATACAATGCATTTATTTGAAAAAAAAAATCCAGCAAACACTATGGTTAACTTTGTTAAGTTTATTTTAGCAAATTCCTTTACATGAATAATGTGTGCTTTTATCATATGCAACACTGTGTTTTCCTAAATCAGTGCTTTCCTCCATTGTAATTTCAAAAGGGAGGATAGTAAAGCTATCTTATACCTCCTCATCATTTCTTCACAAGTTTAATAATTCCAATGTGGAAATGCCCAGCATCTCCCTTTTCTAATTTCTGTCTCCTAACCTGTATTCAAATATCTGCCTAAGTACCAAACCAGGATTTATTCATCTTTGGAATGTTCTACAGAGACTCATTTTTGTCACACAAGAATTTCAGTATAATGCTGATGTTTATGAGTGTAATGTAGATGAGCAATAATCCTGTGAACACAAATAGTGAGATCTTCTGAAATCTCTCCCTGCAGGAGTGGGGATTTCTGTCATGATGCAAAGTTTACTAAAGCCGAATGCTTTGCTGAATAATCATGTTCCTTCTCCAAGCAGCTGCCAACTTCATCATGTTAGTGCCTGAAGGACACAGGATTCTCTCCAGAGACAGGAAAGAGAAGCCATATGTTTGGAGATGCTGGAATAGCTTGAGAGACTAAATAGGAACACTCTTCCTACTCCATTTCTGATTTATTTTATGTTGGTCCTGGAGGAGTGATAAGCGCAGTGTCACTGTCCAGACAAATTTTTGTTCATGTTGAAGCACAAGTCTGAGGCCAGGAACTCCTTCAAGGGGGTGTGTGAATTCTGTTGGCCTTTAAACTAGTATTAGTGCACAGCTTTATTGCAAGCATGTTTTATCCTGTGAACAAAAGAAGAATTAGAAGCTTCCTGTGGGAAAGGAAAATGTCCATAATAGGACTAAGAGGGTCAAAAATTACCAAAGCTGTCCAACCCCACCATAACTAAGTGGAGCAAGAAAAATTTCCCGTTTAAAATAGTGTTTAGCTTGAAATTTCTAATTTGTTTTTCCAAAACATGCCATTGCCATAGACAAGGGCTGTCATCAGATGTGCTGCTGAACATTCCGTAGACCCATTGTTATGTTTTTTGCAGGGTCTTTCAAAGAATGCTCTCAACGGTGTACATCTGTTATTGCAAACGATTTTTCATTTCATACAGCAATGCTGCAATAGAAAGCTGGTGGCTCCAGGGACAGAGTAAGGGGGAGGGATGGTGAGTGAAGGGCAGCTGTGTTAGGTATTATTAATGGACAAGCAATGGCAGCTTCTAGAACTTCATGTTCCTAGTTCAAACATTTCAGTCAAGTGTATCAACACTGGACTCAGATAAAGGAAATACATTTGTCCAGGCTGATGCAAAATCCTGGGAAAAAGAAACCTGTTAAAACGGTGAGCTGACAGAGATAAAGCTTCCTAGGAGTATAAATCAGGAATAGTTTCTGAAGGTAGTCCTTTTATACCTCCACAGAACTTGGTGGTGGAGGTGGCATTGATTCTCTCTTCCCACCTGCCTCCTTTCTGGGAGAAGCTGTACATTCTCCAAAGCTTCTTACCATCCAGCTCTCCACACCTGAACAAAACTGCCATCACAGCCTGTCGCCTTGTTCTCCATGGCTGTATTTCTCTTTCACCTATGGCCACAATGCTTCTCTTCTATTTCTGTCCTTGCAAAGACACGGATTCTTACTGTCCTAGAGAGAAAGAGGATGTAGGACATGACAGGGATTTATAAAATTATGAATGGCCTGGGGAGCCTGGGCAACAATGGATTGCTTATTGCCTCTTAGGCATCTGAAACTTGGTGGGGATGGCTTGTTCAGAGCAAACAAAGGATATTTGCTCTATTTTAGGAAAGCTATGAAGTCCTTTTCACAGGTGTTTATAGATGCAAAACATTTACATGGCCTCAAAAAAGAGAAAGGACACATGGAAGAAAAATCCTTGGTGGGCTATGAGGTTGAAAGACCCTGATCCGATCTCCCTCGTCCCCAGGAATGGCCTGGTGTTGGAATGTTCCCTTCTACTACAGCCCAGCAAGAGACCAAAAATTATTACATGTCTCTGTGGACTCTCACCATTTTGCCAATGTGTCACCAGTCACACAGAGAAGGATAGTCAGAGTTGCTTAAATCCTGCAAACATTTGGAGAGTTACCCAAATTCATGCCTTCGTTTGCAGCATAGAAGGTCTCCTGGGAGCACCTCAGTGCCTTTTGTGCAGGATGGGAGGGCACAGCTGAGGTCTGACTTGACATAGATATGTGTTAGAATGTGGATTTATCTGTCAGTGCTGCTGGGCTGTTCTTGTTCAGGTAGATATGGAAGTGGAGATAGGGCTTAAATGATGGGAACACTTGCCCTAATGATTCTGTTATAAAGGGTTTGCTGAGGGAGTAAAATACCTGTCTTTCCTGGGAAACATAAAGACTACTCAGAACACTGCCTTCCACACAACTTCTCTCTGTCTCTCAGAAAGGATACCTAGATAGAGATGCTTATGTCTTCCTTCCCCTAAAGCTTGTTCTTGTACTGCTTGCATTATTATTTAAATCTGATCCAGAGAGCAACTAATGCTCATGCACATTTTTCTCTCCAGCCTTTGAGCAAATTTTCCCTGCGTCCTGGAAATTCTTCAGTTGCCTTGGTGTAATTTCTTCCTGCCCTCTTCTTGCTTCCTTTTCCGAGGCAGAGAAACCAGGCATCTAGAGAAGAGTGAGGCCGAGCAAGGCTGTGGCAACTAAGATATAGTGTCCAGCTTTGGTGGAGAAGGAACTGGGAGAGTAGGAGAGGGAAGGGCAGAGTCAGAGGGAAGGGAAAAGCTTTGGGATGATTAGAAACATTCCCCAAGGAGAGCTTCTTGTCTTCTTCCACTACCATTTACTGCCACTACTTGCTATTGTCTCCTTAAGTCGTCTAATCATCCTTTTCTTCTTCTGTCATCTTCTTCCACTACCTCTTCCATTGACTCCTCTTTTTAAAATTCTGCTGCCTTCTTTCATTGTCTTTTCTACTGTCTCTTACTTCCCTAGTTATGCTTCTTTTCTTCACCACTGTGAGATCTTTGGCTGACATCCTCTGTCAATTTTTCTATTGCCACCTTCTATTCTTCTGCCATATTCTTTTGCCACCTTTTTCAGTTGCCTCCTCTTTTTCCTCTTCCACTGCCTCCTTTTGCTGCCTCTTTCTGTTCTTTCCTCTGTCATCTTCTACAGCACATCATCCACAGCCTTGTTCCTCCTCCTTTTTCCTATTCTTCCAATACCACCTTCTGACATGTTCTTCTGCTACATTATTCCACTCTGTTCTTCATCCCCTTCTCATTGTCTTCTACTGCTTCCATCTTCCTTTCCCTTCTTTTGCCACTTTCTTCCACTTCCTCTTCTTCTACTGCCAGTATCTCTTTTTCAGGTGGAGCCTACAGACTATATCAGTATGCCTGACTCCAAATGCCTAGGGATCAACCTTGAGTCTCCCTTAGTGATTTCTGCAAGAGGGTCTGCTAGAGGCTTTGGAAGGGGCTTCAGATGGGACCCTCAAATGCTTTTGTAATTGGCCTGGAGGAAGGAAGGAAGGAAGGAAGGAAGTTTCCCCCCTATGCTGGCTTTGCAAGGAGAAAAGGCAAAATGTGTAATTATTAATAGTTCCAATAGATGGCTCCCAAAACACAGAGGTGACAGCAATGCTTAGCACAGAGATCAGATTAATTTCAAGACTAGCGATTCTATCATATCATAAGCTGATAAAAATGAATGCTTTTCTTCTTTTTTGAAAATATGCAATAATTCTTTTGTTTCCTCACACTTTGATCAGATCTGTAGTTATCTCAACCCTTCATGCCCCACATTGGCAGCAAATAAGGATCATTATGCTTTAAGGTGCAAAACTTTTTTAGGGTGAGATAAGAACTGTTTAATTCTTAAAACAAAGTATAACAATAACAGAAAAAGAAAACACAAGAAAAACAAAGTGCAGATGCTTACCACCTGCTGAGCGATGCTCAGCCTGTCCCTGGGCAGTGATTAGTTCTGTCTATCCAACTCCAGTGTATATTCTAAGGATGATGTTCTGTTGGCCAGCTAGTGTCAGTTGTCCCATCTGTGCTCCCCCACGGCTTCTTGCTCACCTCCTTGATGACAGAGCATGGAAAGCTGAAAAGTCCTTGAATTGGAGTAAGCACTACATAGGAACAACCAAAATATCAGTGTCTTATCAATATTATTCTCATATTAAAAACAGTGCTGTACCAGATACTAAGAAGAAAATTAACTGTATGCCAACCAAAATAAGGGCAGTCACCTCCTCCATCTCCTCTTTCATCTTCTCCTAATCTTCCAACTTTTCCTAATTTCTCTCCTAATCTCTTCTTCCATTGCCTCTTCCTTCCTTTCTGCTGCTACCTTCCTCCACTGTCTTATTCTATTCTACTCTACCTCTTCTACTTCCTCCTCCTTTTCTTCTTATACCAACTTCTTCTACCACTTTCATCCTCTGCTTTCTTCTGTGGCCTTCTCCTCACACTGCCTCCTTCCCTTTCCTCTTGCTCTTTTTCCAACACCTTCTTCCATCAAGTCTTCCTTCTCTTTTTTTGCTGCCTTCTTCTGACACTTTATTCCACCACCTTCCCCATTCCCTCTCC